CGGCACTGTCCTGCTCAACAAGGCAGTGAGGACCATCCGGTGGAGAGGGTCCTTCCACGAGGAAGGGGACAAGGCCAGGGATTTCCCCGTCCGGGTGGAGTGTGAGGACGGAGACGCCTTCCTCGCTGACCACATCATCATCACTGTCCCGCTGAGTGAGGACACCAACACCTTTCCTTGCCCTGCCTGTCCCCTCCAACCAGTTGGTGTGGTTGGTGATGGACAGATGGAGGGCAGGGACTTGCCCAAACCCCTTCCCAGCCTCGGCAACCCCGGTGGGAGAGGGGAGGCTGGCCAGGAGTTTGGGGAGGGGAAGGTATCTCAGACCCCAACAGAGCTGCCCGATCTTCTGCCTGCAGGTTTCCTCAAGGAACGCCACCAGGACTTCTTCCAGCCTCCCCTGCCAGAGCGGAAAGCGGAGGCCATTCGCCGCCTGGGTTTCGGCACAAACAACAAGATCTTCCTGGAGTTCGAGCAGCCTTTCTGGGAACCCCAGCAGCAGTTCCTTGAAGTGGTGTGGGAGGACGAGTCGCCCCTTGAGGAGCCCAGCGCTGACCTGGAGGCCAACTGGTTCAAGAAGCTCATTGGATTTGTGGTCCTGCAACCGCCAGAGCAGTACGTGGCCGGGAGCATCGGCAAAGGGGCATCGCGGCCGGGGCGTTGGGCATCTTCTGGGCAACCTGAAGGAGAGTCTTGGTCCTGTCTGGAGCTTCAAGTCCTTCTCTGGGTCGCTGGTGGCCCGTGATGCAGTGGCGCTCCCGGGGCAGGGAGGGCACGGTTCCCGGTGATCAGCGGGAGGGCGTCAGGCAGCTCTGGGCCCCATCTTTCCTCCTCAGGCACGGGCATGTCCTCTGCGGCTTCATTGCGGGGAAGGAGTCGGAGTATATGGAGACGCTGAGCGACGCGGAGGTTCTCGGCACCATGACACGTGTCCTCCGCATGCTGACAGGTACTGCCACCTCCTCCACCCTCATCACCCCAACCCCCCCCAGGGAAATGTGCACCCAGATTTCTGGATACCACCCAAAATCCACACCCGCAGGGAACCAGCGCCTGCCTGCTCCCAGGAGCGTGCTCAGGTCCCGGTGGCACAGCGCTCCCTACACTCGGGGCTCCTACAGCTACGTGGCCATCGGCAGCTCGGGGGACGACATCGATGTGCTGGCTCAGCCCCTGCCCGAGGACCCCGAGGACCCCAGGGTAAGTGCTTTTGGCCCAGGAGATGCAGCGGCCATAGGGGAGCAGGAACGCCCAGGCATGGGGACAGACGGACAGGGGTGGGAACAGGACGCCCCAGGCTTTGAGGAGCACAGGGAGGTGGCATTCCCCACTCCCGCTCCATTCAGGAGTCACCGATGCTCAGCTCACCGACCAATCCCCCTTGGCTCTTCCCCCTGAGCTCCATGGGGGTAGGGGGAACCCCATTTCCATGAAATCTGGCGACACGTAGCTCCTTCCAACCACCTTCCGGCATCCTCATGGCATGGGGTGGGTCTCTAAGGAAGGGAAGGTGCCCACTCCTTGGTCTCTACGTGGCTGCAGAGCGGGTCATGCATCCGCGGGGTGCCAAAGGGCAGGGAGACGAGGCTGGTTTAGTAGGACCCGGTGTCCCCACTGGGCCGGGGGAGGCAGCAGGCCCCCGGCG